GAATTAGGGTGTCCCACGTTGACTAGAAAGGGGAAGGTGTGCCAACCAAGATGTTAATCCTAAAGTGGGATGGATTGTGAAATCTCAAATCGGTTGAAGAGGAGAACAAAATCTTCTCTTCGGTGAGTGATAGCTTTACACAGCTATCTCCCTCCATGTTTCGCAGTTTTGGTTGTGCTTGGGTGTTGTGGCTTGAGACAATAAATAAATGCAGGATGAACTGGGAAGTTCTTGAAATTATGGCTGTTGGGCATTCCCATTCATTGTCATTGTACGCCACATGTCTAACATTCCGTAAACGTGAGCGGTAAGTGTAATAGTTTAAATCTATCACTAACAGATATTGTTTATTTTAGTTCGTTACATATCGCCGTCAACTTCGATTTTAAAACACGTCTGTTAGAGAGAGGTTTCCACGTTCTTATAAGAAATGCTTCGTTCATGTGAGATCTCACAATCTACCTCCCTTCGAAGCCAACGTCTTCGTTGCCACACTGCCTAGTGTCTAACTCTAATACCATTTGTAACGGTCTAAGTCCACTTTTGCATGTGAACGCTCTGTTTCTTACGCTTTTTTTTAATTATTTTTTAAATTTTTTTAAAGATTTGAGTACGGATTGAATTGTAAAATTATGTTTTTAATTATTTTAAAAAATTGTACTTATAATTAAAATTTCATAAAATTTAAATATTTAAATATTATTAATTTTTATAATAACCTTAAAAATAAGATAGGGTAGGGTTGGATTCTTACTCTATTTTCGGGTTGATTAGGTTTATCAAACAAAAGAAAATGACAACCCAAGAATAGACCCGAAATAATTTAAATCCAAAAAAAAAAAAAAAAAAACTAAAATCTTATTAAGTTTAAATAACAAATATTAACAATTTGCCATTCATGAATTTGACTCGAATTTTAGATGGTATGATTTAGATTAAGTAATTTTGATTGGTTGGATGTCGATTTTTATGGGGTAATAATTATAGCTGTCTCTATAATTAACTACTAGGTCCTTCGATTTTGTTTGACAGTCATGTGATGATTTATGTATTTGACCCAACATAAGAGCCTTACGACTATTTTAATACTCACCCGGTTTTCATGTCATGATTTATGTATTTGACCCAACATGAAAGTTCCTTATGACTATTTTAATACTCACCCTGTTTAAAATGATATATATATATATATATGAAGAAAATTTATAATTATCATATAAATGGACATTTGAAAATTAAACTAATTATCATGTAAAAATTATGAAATTAAATATTATTGTGCACGTGTCACGTTGCAATAATTTAATATTGATTTTTTTTTTTTTTTTCAAAATGGCTATAGTTTATTACATAATTTTTTACCCATTTATTTTTATTTATCTAAAAAATATAGCATTAATGGTAAGGATGCCTTTAGATTTGATTAAATGATGGAAATTAAATTAAATTAAATAGGTTTAAACCATATGAAAAAGGACAAGAATTTATATTAATTTTCAAACAACTTAGAAAATGTTTATTATATTTAAAATATTTTAAAATAAGTTTATCTTTAGATATACCAAGTATAAATGAGTCTTTATTATTTGAACCTTTTCAATTTAGGCTTTATTATCTAAAAAAGAACCAATTTATTTTATCAATTTACAATTATGCCATTTAAACATTTTATTATATTATATGAATGTTGCTTAAAATTAAGTGTAACGGCTCAAATCCACCGCTAGCAGATATTGTACTCTTTGAACTTCCCCTCAAGGCTTTAAAACGCGTCTGGTTGGAAAAAGTTTCCAAGTCCTTATAAATGGTCCTCTTTGGGCTTTTCCTTTTGTCTTCTTTAAAACGCGTTTAATAGTGGAAGGTTTCCACACTCTTATAAATAGTGATTTGTTCTCCTCCCAATCAATGTGAAACATCACAATCCACCCCCTTTGGGGCTAGCGTCCTCGCGGGCACTCTTTTCTTTCTTCAATCGATGTGGGACCACTCTTTCTTTCTCCAATCGATGTGGGACCGCTCCCAAATCCACCCCCTTTGGGGCTCAACGTCCTTACTGGTTGGCACTCTTTCCTTCCTCCAACTGATGTGGGACCACCCCCAAATCCACCCCCCCTTTGGGGCCCAGCGTCCTTCCTGGCACATCGCCTCGTGTCTACTCCCTTCGAGGAACAGCGAGAAGGTTAGCTCATCGTCCAGTGTCTAGCTCTGATACCAACTGTAATGACCATAAATTTCCCCATATCTATAGTCGTCACTACCGTCTCATGCTCATCTCTAATGCATAATATAACTCTAAGAATGCTCATCTTTATTAGCGGAAAAATTTAAAACTTCAGAACACATTAAAACATTAGAAAACACGACTGGACTTACGTGTTTCAAACATTATGCTGAAGTTCAAAATAAGATAAAACAATTACAAATTAAATAGTTTAAATAAATGAAATGCAAACACTTTATTTTATCCTAACCAAGATTAGAATTTTAAATATGCAACTATCTTATGCATGTGCCACAGTCTCTGATCACGATGCCACCGTCAACTGTACATGGGCGCCTTGCCTTTACCTGAAAAACAATATGACACACGGCCTAAGTATTTCAAAGAAATACTCAGTAGGTGACCCCACTATAGGGGTCATGCTACTGCAAATACATGCAATCATGAATTAGGGACCTATCTCTAATCATCTTAAGGGTGGCCTCGAGTTTCGGACAAATTGGATGTGTAGTACTTCCTTACACACGACTCACACGTGTGAGTGTGAATCCCCAGAGTGCTCGTGATAAGGCAACCCTAATCCTCAGCCCAACGATCCAAGCTTTTATTTTAGCAAGAACCCTTGAATCAAAGTAATTAACACCTCGTTCTGCCAAATTTGGATCAACCAAGAGATAAGGCTAGAATTAGATTACCTCTTACGATCGAAGATCTAGGAGCAAGATTTGGAACCTTGTTCTAAATTGAGTCACTCCACAATCTAACTTGATCAAGGCTTGATTGAATGACTCGGGTGCAATTCTACCACAAGAATTGCTTGAAACTTAGAAATGGCAAATATGATGCTCGGATTTCTAAGGGAAACGTCTCAATTTGAGATCTGAATTACATTCATCAACGAATCTGATTTTTACATAACATATTGTGGGTATTTATAGTCTCCCGACAAAAGACGTTTGTGGCCGGGATTCAATCCCGATCCCCTTTAATCTCCACAAATGACGAAGTCAATTTTGACCAATTGACCATTTCAAAATGAAAACTTAAATCTACAAATATTCAAACCCTGTTGTTGACATTTTTAATGTTTTCCAACCTCAACCGTGAAAATATTCAATTGTCCTTCGTCAATCGTATCAACTTCTAATTCTACAAATGATGGTTGAACCGAGCCGATCCAATTTTGTAGATGAAGAATGAATGTTTGTTGAATCTTCTTCGCCTTGGATCGTGTAATAGGTCCAGTTGGAACATTTGGAACACCGTGATTCTTATCAGCTCGCACACCCCCTGGACCCTCTGGTCAAGCTAATCTGTAGCGATATCCGGAGGTCAGCGGAACCCCATAGTGTTATGCGCCTCATGAACACCATCATTTGTGTGCATTCGCATCTGTGCGCATTTGCACTCATCATACGGTGTCCCTCTAAGAAAAGTAGCCCTATGCTTATGAACATACAATATGCATGAGGTCCCTCTAAGTCCAATATACATCTCTCTAACACAACTCTCTAGTCTCATCTCTTGGTTACACTATGTAACACGTGTTTGTGGATATTTACATTAATATCATTTTCATACTCATAGGGTTATGTCCTATGTCGATCTAACAACACGATGCAATATGGCAAACAACATCATAGGACATGTTCAACACGAAAAACATCATCATGTTAATAACATCGTCATGAATACATCATACTCATCATAGAAGCCATTAAAGTGCATCAAATATAACATGTACGCCATGCATCAAACCTAAATAACGTACATTTAACATACATCATAGCACAATTACCTGATTAGCTTAAATTGGTGATGTCTATCCTATAACAAGGCCACTTACTTGATTAACTTAGATGTCTATCCTATAACGAGGTCACTTACCTGATTTGGCTTAGATTGACATCACCAACTTATAAAGTCCAGTTTTGTTCTTTGTATCCAAGCCATCCTATATGAACCATGACATCAATTTCTCTCCTAAAATCTGCTCTTTTCTTTGTTTCTTTCTCTCATTTTTCCCTTCCCAAAACGTTACATTACATCACCCAAAAATGATTAAATTCTAATTTATCCTCCAAATTTAAAAATAGGCTTTTGTTTTTATTGATTATTTACTGTAATAAAATTAAAAAAAATGAAAAAATTTATAACACAATTTCCAATTATGTTATTTATTTTTTAATCCATGTTTTCAAATTTTAAATTATTTTATTTATTATAGTTATTATATTTAAAAAAAAAACATTTGAATTTTCAGTAAAATTCTTAAAGTATTTGTGTTTTTTTAAAAATAATTAAAATAAACCATCCTCTTTGGGAAACCGTGGTGCACGTGGGGGGCACGTCACGAGACACGTGATGTAATCTTATCATTGCCCGACACGTGGGAAAATAAAGTTTACATCACAAATTCAAATTTTTTGACCATTCTTGAAATTAATCTGACTCACTAAAAATGGGAAAATAAAATTTACCCCGGGGTTAATCAGCTCCATGTAGAAAAGATGAAAGGAAAAGTTACCACAGTGAAAAATTCAGAAATGGTCGTCTGTAATTTATTGAACTCCGTTACTTACTGGATCAGACATTTTCATCTCAAAAACTGCGTCAATGGCGAACTGGAAAGAAGAAATTATCCTTTTATGTTTTTTGGAAGACTAAAATACCCTTTCAAACCTACCAAATGGAGTTCAACTGGTTCGTAATTCTGTCTAGATTTGTGGACTTTTTAGTCATTTCACATATCCAAAGGCCTTACCTCTTTTGTCTTCATTACAGTGATGAACAGAGCACCAGATCAGTGGAAACTGGAGAGAGAGAGAGAAGAGAGAAGAGAGAAGAGAGAGAGACGGCCAGAAAATGGAGCACAACGACGGTGGTGGGAATAGAGCGGAGGCTCTGCGGTGGCTGAGTATAGCGGAGAAGCTTCTGGCGGCGCGTGACTTCTATGGAACGAGGAGCTTCGCGATCCGGGCGAGAGAATCGGACCCCATAGTGCTGGAGGCGGCCGACAGAGTAATCGCCGTCGCGGATACGCTGCTAGCGGCGGAGGGACGGATCAATAATCAGTATGATTGGTACGGTATTTTGCAAATTTCGCAGCCGACTCACAGCATGGAGATAATTGCAACGCAGTATAGGCGACTGGCGCTTCTTCTTCACCCTGAGGCGAACAGAGTTGCGTTTGCAGATCATGCTTTCAGGCTCATCTCTGATGCTTGGTGTGTGCTTTCGAATCCCTTGAGAAAAGCCTTGTACGATAATGATTATCTGATGTACTCCAAATTTAGCCCTGGAACGACTGGGTCGAATCAAAAACCGAAGTCCCCGCCGCCGCAGCCCCAATTTCCGCAGCCTGTTAGAACTAGTCCGAGGAAGGAGACTAGGATGATGGTAGAGGAGCCTCAGCATCAAGAACCGCCACCACCAGAACGCCCGCATCCGCCACCGCTGGAACTCCTACAGCCGCCGTCGCCAGAACGACCGCAACCGCAACCGCCACCGCTACAACCACCGTCGCAGCCGCAGCCACAACTTCCTAACCGACCACAGCAGCAGGAAGATCCGCAGCAATTTGTAAGAAAAACCCCCAAAACCCCCCAAACCCCCAAATCAATGAGTGTTGAAGTAATTGTAGAGGAAGAGAGACCAAATGTCAGTGATGTCCATGAGTCAGCTCAGGAAGCTACTGAGCAGCACATTGATTCCAATCGCCCCTCACGGGAGCCAGAGTCTACCCTGCCGACTGAGTCCAGCATTCCAAGTTTCTGGACTGCATGCCCTTACTGTTACAATCTCTACGAGTATCCCAAGGTTTACGAAGATTGTGTGCTTAGATGCCAAAATTGTGGCAAGGCATTTCAAGCACTGGTTATTCCATCACCACCAGTAGCTGAAAATGCTTCCACATTCTGCTGCTGGGGGTTTTTCCCACTTGGGTTTTCTCCCAATGCTAAAGGGCCAATGGGGTCTGCACCCTGGTCGCCATTTTCAGCTATGTTTTCCTGTCCTCTGCCTGATAAGGGAGGAACAAAGCCAGGGAAAGCTAAAAACGTTAAACCCTCCAAGAAATCCACACCGAGATTTGTTTGTGAAGAGGATGATCTTTATATCCAAGCTTCAGAACCAAGTGACAGTTCTGATGAAGAATGGGGAAGGGTAAGTAAAAAGAAGAAGCCTAAGAGAAGTTTAGCTACTAGAAGTGATAATAGAACAAATTCTGAGAGCTTGCTGAAAGGGAACCAAGGGAATGTAGATGAAGGTGAGAATAGGAATGGGTTGGTGCGGTTTGGGTTGTCGAACGCCACGAAGGGCGAGTCAAGTAAGAAGGCTGTGGTAGCCGCAGGGGGGACTGGGAAGAAGCATAGATCGAAAGGGCCAAAGGAGGTAGGGAAGTTGGATTTGAATGTGGAATTCAGCAATGAGGTTGAAGAACCTGCCACAGGCGTAAGTGGAGGACATGGGGAGGATAATATTGAAGGAATTGGGTTCTTTGAGGGGCTTGATGAATTTTTGAGTAGTCTGCCAATACTTAATGCTGTGGCTGATGATAAGGTCAAAGCTAGCTAGTGAGGCTCTTGGATGTTATTCTTGAAGTAAGACTCTTCCTTATGTTCTTGATGTTGTATTTTGTTATTGTAGTATACAAATCATTTTAAGCTGCAATGCCTTTTGCCTAGTTGTTCTGTTCTTGCACTGTCATTCACTTTACTCCTGAGCTGAAATGCATTTAGCTAGTTATACACTTTGAGATCTTTAGTGTTGATATCTGAAAGTTATAGTTTGTTGCTTCCTGGCACATTTTAAGAGGATTCTGGTGTTCTTGATTCATGTTGTCTGATGGTTTTCCCTAGATTCTTATGCTTTTATAATGGTCTGTTATGAGGGATTCATGCATCTGGTGATGATATTCTTTTGGTTCATGTTGTATTTGTTCATCTTTTCTAGGAATGTGTAGTGTTTTTCATTTTTTTTTTTTTTTTGTCTTCCTCTTAATGCTCGTATTTTGACTTGATATATGTGAGATCACACATCGGTTGAAATGGAGAACGAAGCATTTCTTAGATGCGTTTTAAAACCTTGAGGGAAGCCATTGAAGGGAAAGCCCAAAGAGGACAATATCCGTTAGCAGTGTGTTCAAGCTGTTACAAATGGTATCAGAGCTAGATATTGAGCGGTGTGCCAGCGAAGATGCTAGCACCCCCAAGGGAGGTGGATTGTGAGATCCCACATGGTTGGAGTGAGGAACGAAGCATTCTTTAAAAGGGTGTGGAAACCTTTTTTTAGTAGACGCGTTTTAAAACCTTGAGAGGAAGCCCTTGAAGGGAAAGCCCAAAGAAGACAATATTCACTAGTAATGAGCTTGGATTGTTTCAAATGGTAATAGAGCTAGACATCGGGCGGTGTGCCAACGAGGACGCTGACCCCAGGGGATGGATTGTGAGATCTCACATCGGTTGAAGTGGTGAACGAAATATCTCTTATAAGGACGTGGAAAGGACGTTGGCTTCTCAAGAGGGGTGGATTGGGAGATCCTACATCGGTTGAAGCGGAGAACGAAGTATTCCTTGTAAGGGTGTGGAAAGATGTTGGCCCTCAAGGGGGGTGTATTATGAGATCTCACATTGGTTGAAGTGAGGAACAAAACATTCCTTACAAGGTGCGGAAATCTCTCCTTAGTAGACGCATTTCAAAACCTATAAGGAAAGCCCAAAGGGAACAATATCGGCTAGCGGTGGGTGTTACAATATAAGGTTTAAACGGTAAGAATATGCTTGTAATTCTCTTGGACGAGTTTCTAATATCACATCATTATGTTTTGTCCCTTTCTTGGATGTGTTTACAAACTTCATAGGGAAAAGGTGGTGGTGGCGGAGGTGGGAGAGAGTATATTTATTTCTTTGTACGGTTGGAAACTGATGTAAAGCAATCTCCATTGCCATGGATATGAATGGTGGAGTTCTTGATAGTCCAAATTCCTCCTCCATTGGAACGAAGAGGAAAGAAGACAACTCAATTCCCCTTTCAGCTCACCTTCTTGTACCCATGCATGCATGCAGTCATTTTGGTTGATCTGAAAGGGACAAAGCTTCCGACTTTGCCCGGTTCTAGGGGTGGCTTCTTTACCTTACCCGCCCTACACCTACCGCTGTTATGGCACATACCTTAGAACTTGACCATGCACCGAAATAGAGTGACCTAACAATAAGGTCAGGTTGCCGAGGCATATAGAATGTTTTGGTTCTGCAGCATATTTTGTATCTCTTATGAAGTTTCTCCCGTTCTTGCTTTATTTGTCATCTGATAATTGCAGGAAGTTTAGGTATATGGTTGGAAGTAGTTTTAAAAATAGTTTGGGTTCGCTCCTTATTTTCAACCATTACAGCAGGCGTCGACCACAAACTTAACCTAGTGAATATGGTAGAAATTGGGGGTGGTCATTATGGCACACGTAGTGGTAGTTACTCGCGCAAGTCCGGTGAGGAGGAGGATTTTCTCTCTCGACCCCTATTGGGGGTGGTTTTTATGGCACACGTAATGGCAGTTACTCACACGAGTCGAGTTAGAAGGAGAACTTTCTCACTCTCGCCCCCCTATCTAGTCTAGTAAGTAAGGTTTTGGCAGCGGGGGAAGTTGGTAAGAAAAAACATCAAAAAAACCGAGCTCTGGGGGATGGGGGATTTGTCGAGTTGTATCAAGTTTAGAATAACAGATAACGTTCGAGCTTATTTATCGGTAAAATTTATTGTTTAAGAGATTTATTTAATTGAAACTAATGAGTCCATAGAGATTTGTGTTTTTTTTTTTTTTTTTTTTTTTTTTTTTTTTTTTTTTTTTTTTTTTTTTTTTNTTTTTTTTTTTTTTTTTTTTTTTTTTTTTTTTTTTTTTTCCTTAATGTATAACATTTAAGATCTTGATTTTCTTTTTCTAAATTTGATTGGAAATCCTATGATAAAAATGCCAAAAATGAAAAGGAGAGAAAGTAGAAAGACGAAAATAGCCTTCAATAATTAATCATGGAGTTGCCGCCAAACCATCAAATATCAATGGGCAATTTGGTCAATTGGCAAGTCTTATTGAAATTTGGTTAATTTATTACATTATTGATAGATCACAATTAATATGCTTCAATATTGATTTTCACAATAAAGTAATAAATATGGATAGATATTTTTGGGAAATTATAGAATTAAAAAATTAAAAAAAAAAACACTTATTTATTTTTTTTATTTTTATAAATAAGTTATTATTGGCATTTTAAAATTCTATTTAGTGTTTTGTTTCTTTAATTTTTTATTATTTTTTACCCATTTTAAATTTTTATTAATCTAAATTATATTACATATTCCTAAATTTTATACTTTAATTATACCTCAAAAAAAATTATTAGTACTCTATTTCATAAATATGTTGGTTTTTAAAAAATTAAAAAAAAATATTTCGTTTACAAATAAAATCATTAATACTATTTCTCAAAATTATGTATGAATTTTCAAAAATAGCATTAATATCCTTAACGGGGAATAAGTTATAAAAAAAATTATTTGTATAAGAATGAAAATCATTTATTTCTTCTATTTTCTTTATTTACTCGGCTTCAGATCTTCTTTTTTTATTTTTGGTTTAAAAAATTGAAAATCTTTAAAATATATTATCATTTTAGTCCCTATAAGTGGTATTTGTTAGATGAACACGAACTCTCATAATGATATAATATTATTTACTTCATGACTTTATTTTGGGTTTCTCCTCGTACTAATTTAATATTCTTTGATTATAAATCATGTTCATTCTCTGAATTAGCTGATGGGACTTTCATCGTCAACCGAGGTAAACAAATTTCCTAATTAATTTATTTTAACTATTAAATTTGAAAAAAAAAAAAAAAAGGTTAATTGTGGCGCGTGGTATACACGCGATTCTCTCCGCGTGAAAGCAGCACGTGTTTTGTTTTCCGTTACTCTAGTTAGTTCCCGCTAAAGACTTGTTCCAGATCGCCCACTTCGAAAACCCGACTCTCTTCTATTTCACCGTTCTTCTCCCAGATCCTTCTTCCATCTCTCTGAATCTTACTCTTTCACAGGTTAGCTGTTGCAGCCATGGATGAAGAATACGACGTCATCGTTCTTGGTACTGGCCTTATAGAATGCATTCTCAGTGGCCTTCTCTCCGTCGATGGCCTCAAAGTATTCTCTTCTCTATAACTTTTTTTCTTTTAATGATTCTGTATCAAAATCAGTTTCGTATAGAAATTTTTTCGAATCTCTGCTTATCCTATGGCTTTTGGAAGAAATTGCGTGTGGTTTGTGTGAAATGTAAATCCGTGGTATTGGATTTAGGAATGTACATATGTTGAATTTGTCGATCGTTGTTCGGTTTTAAATTACGGTGATCCGTGAAATATATCTGTTTATGGACTTGGCGTTTGGTAATCTGGTGATTTTAAGCGAAATATTCTTGCATCGTTGATATAGTAGAGTGCTTCAGCTCCCGAGGCTTCGAATAAATGTTAACCATGAAGAAATTTTCTATCACTTCTCGCTAATGGTTTGAGGAGCTTTGTTCGATATTGTTTTGTGTAATTAATTTTTTTCATCACTGCTGAGTTTTGGTGTTTTGCGTATTAATTGAAATGTTTTGAAAACACGTGAGAAACCTTACTTTTATGATCCTGTTTATTCCAATCATAATAATGATTTGTTTGAGAATTGAACAGTACTATGTCCATGCCTGAATCTTTTTCTTTTGAGTTGCTAGTTTTTTTTTTCCCCAAAGTATAGCTTAGAATCATTTGGGAGTATTTTGGAAAACAGAGTTTCTGTTTTGGATATAAATGATTTTTCGAAAGTAAATTTTCCTAGAACAATTCTAAAATCATCACATTTTGAAGAACGGTTTCAAGCGCACATAATCTTTTATTTTTATCATTGTTCTTAATGAAGATTATAAGAAACACCAAAGGAAGAAATTATTTCCGGAACACTACTTTTGGGACATTTCCTTGCCTAAGAAAAAGTTCCTTACCTGGTCTGGTCTTGAACACGGAGACATCTATTCTCCGCTCCCCCCCCCCCCCCCCCCCCCCCCC